AACATGAAAATTATGGACCTTGTTGAAGTGAATTTACTTTTTCTATTATCAGTATTCCTAAATAACCAGGCCTCTGGTGGTCTCTTTTGTCTGTAGTTTTTTTTGTTTTTGTTTATTTTGATGGGAGAGCAGTAATTGTGTGTAGTATAGATAATTACAAAACGACATGATTAGTAGAGAATATAAAGGTTGTACAGAAAAGTAGGTCAAAGGAATTTATAATCTCTTAGAATGCTACTAGCAAGAAAGACATTTTGCTGTTTGACAGTTTCCTGCTAGTCGTATGATGTTAACGTGTAAGTATGTACACATATTTTTGTGTGTACTGAAGATCATGGTGTTTTGTGTCCTACTGTTTAAAGACAGTGTATGTCGAGCATTTCTCTCACATTGTTAAGGATTCTTTGAAGTTCATTTGTAACGGCTGTGACATGTGCAGCTGTGTCACTGTGAATTTGCTGTCTTCATGCTGAGAAAGAACGGCTCCCATCTGTGATTTCCTCATGTCTGCGTCCTGTGTGTGGTTCCTTGGTAGATGGCAGGCTCCACAGAGCTTTCTAACTGAAAGAGTGCCTAGGAGTTTTAGGTTACGTGACAGAATTTTCCCCAGCTCCCCATTTTTTTTTTCTTAAACAGAGACATTTTTATTAATAAATGTGTGTAGAATTTTTTATCACGTATTCCATCCACTACCTTTACTTACTGAATAGCCCTGCATACCGCCGTGATTTTTATTTTTTAAGAATTAGGTAAATTGTGTATGTAAGATGTGAGAGTCCGGTTGAGGAGTTGTGATAAATGTATATGCCATGTCGCCACCACTGTCACCCCCTGGGATGCAGAGCGTGCTGCCACTTTGAATCAGCCCGGTTGCGTTCCTTTCTTCTGTACCCCAGTCCCACCCAGTCCCCAAGACCAAGATGCAAGCCCTCTTCTCAGGGCAGGCCCTCCAGGGTGCTCTGACCAGGGGCTTGCGAGGTAACAGGCCCATCAGCTCCAGTCCTGGTGGTCGCCTTGTAGCTGTGAAATCCAGTCACCTTGTTGTTTAACTTAGAGCTCCTGCCTCAGCTCCCAGGAGACAGCGTGGTCATCACAGTGTCCCTTCCTTTCTTTTAGATGCTGAGCTTTTTATGCCCCCAAAGATCAACAAAAGAACGCAGTGGAAGCTGAGCCTTCTGGAGTGACGGGCCCAGGTGCAGGGCCTCCAGCAGGGAAGGCTTTCCCTTCACAGCTCATTCTCCTCCCAGCCCTCACCCCTGCACGCCTGGTTGTCCGGCCCTCGGAAGAGGAACATGATCTGCCAGAGAGCTGCGCTGTGAATCAGACCTTAACGGACAGCAAGCATTTTTTATTGTATTTTATGTATACGTTTTAATCACTAATAACACTTTAAGCCTCACCCAGTACAGCATCGTTGTCTTAGATTTGTTGTTCTTTTCTGGTGCTGTTCAAGAGACTATTTCTGGTATTTATAGTAGTCAGGAGGTTGGGTTTCATTCCCAGTTACAGGTCTGATTGATGTGACCTGATCAAGTCACAGATTGATTGGTGCCTCAGCTCCTCCTCTGTTACTGGGACTGATGTTTCGTAGCTTCTGCTTCAACAGTGTGAAGACAAGTAAAATAACGTTTCCAAATGGTGTCAGGTGCCTGGAGAAGAGCATCATCTGTAAACACCATGGCCGTCCATGCGAGCATTTGGTCAGAGTCTAAACCACCTGGATGGCTTCTTCACCATGAACTAAGGCAGAATCAAAAGTTACGGGGGCCTCTGACATGCCTATCCTTCCTGTGCCGGCAGCCCGTGCTTTGCAGTGTCCTGCCAGGTCATGTGCTTCCGGTTAGAGCTGGGCTCGGCCTCCTGTAGCTGCCTGTCCGTAGGGACTGTTTCACTGCCTGTGTATTTTCTGCTAGAGACTGAGCAGTGTTGAGCTGGGACGTTGACGTTCATGAGGCAGCAGCATGCACACCGGGCGTGGATGAGCAGCGGACGTGGAGGGCCTGCAGTTAGTTGTAAATTACTCTGCTCTCCTAATAGGGCTTTCAGTAACTGAAGTGTTTGTCGTTGTCTAAGCCATTTCATTTGTTTATGATGCTTTAGCTTTTTCTTTTTTCAGTTTCTCAAAAGACCTGTTTTCTTTAGAAGAAATGTTTTTTCTCTTTGGTGAGTCTGGAAATTGCCCAGTTAATTTTGACAACAGTTTTATGACTGATCCTTGAGTAAGGTTAAAAATTTCTTCCATGATTTAATACCAGAACCAGACCTCCACTACTGTATCTGGAGTAATAGGTAATGCCACTTTTGATCTTCAGAGTATAGATATACCAAGGTATAATTTGAGAAGGCTTTGCCCAAGGTGAAGGCGTTCTGGTGGCATAGTGGGCGAGGCATCTGGCTGGTAACCAGAAGGTTGGCTATTTTCAAAGTCACCAGCTACTCCATAGGCGGAAGATGAGGCAATCTATTTCCATGAAGATGTACAGCCTTGGAAACCCAGTGGAGGTCACTATAAGTCGGAATTGACTCAATGGCATTGGGTATTTTTGGTTTTCACCCATGTCCACTTAGAATCTAGGGGAATTCACTGTGTATTTCTTTGAACTTTTCTGTATGTATGAGCATTTTCACAATGAAATATTGAGAAAAACTCACAAAGAAGATCTTGCCCTGCTTTAAGGGAATCTTTGCTGACTCACACCCTAATGGATTTTCTTTAATTCAGTACCCAACATTGAAAGGTGGGAAGTACTTGTGACTACTTTTTGGCATGAGTAATAAACATGACAACTTACATAACATTTTAAATAAACTGTAGTGGGAGCTCTCGTGGCATAGGGCCTAAGGCATTTGACTGCTAACCAGAAGGCTGGTGGTTCAAACCCACGAGCCACTCCTCAGAAGGAAGGTTGGGCAATCTACTTCCTTAGTGATACTGCCTCTGAAACCCAAGGAGGGGTCGCTACAAGTTAGATCTGACTTGACAGCAGTGAGTTTGATTTTTTGGGTAGTATTCTCACTTTAAAATTGCAACTGGTTTAGACTAAAACAAATTTGGTTAATAGGTCAAGGGTCCTATGTTGATGGACTAGAAATAGGAATAAGTGTGTCTATTGATAATGGTGTGAATTTTCACGGACGTTCAGTTCCCTTAAAATAATGTATTGATGCAGCCAGAAAAATTCTCTGTGTGAATGCAAATTACTCTCTCTTCTCTTTTGGACAAGGTTGGATTTTACTGATTTTGAGATTAGGCAGGAACAGACCTTGCGAACGGAAGGCAAAGCCAAGGAGGAGTAAGGAGTGATGGAGAAGTCCAGTGTTCCATGTGGGAGGGGAACAGCTGGCTTGTGAGTGATGAAAGCTTGATTTGGGGAAAAGGTTTTGTCAGGTGCTAGAAAAGCATCTGTTACTCCTCCCCAAATGTGTACTCTGTCCCAGAGCAGGTTTGTGCTGTGAGGAGTGAACACTTCCGCTCTTTCCTTGGTTCCGTTGAGTCAGGTAGCTTGCTCAGATCCTCCAAACATCAAGGTAGAACTTAGGGAGGATTTGTCTCCATCAGGCAGGTGGGTTTCCACCTTAGCAGAAGCTAATGTTTTTATGTCTTTAATAATACAGTTTATTGTAATTTCCTAGCACTGCCATCTATTTTTCAATTGTTTTCTTGTTAAAACAGTTATGTTATTTTAATAAGAAAAAAAGACATATATGTACATGCATTTGTAAGATTTGTCAAACCATAACTGAAGGGTTGTTTTAAGAAATAAAATTGACTATCCTTAGTAATACAAACAAGCTGACTGCAGGGTTAGGTTTTCTTTTGTGCCGGCCCAGAGCCTTTGTGCTTCAGGAGAAGCATCACCCAGGACAAGTCCTTGGGAGTCTCTGATTGTCTGTCCTGCCCTGTGTGGCATACTGGTAACTGAGACAGGGATGAAAATCTTCGTGGCCGGATGACCATAAATGTCCAAGAGGCCAGAGACAAGCCAAGACTAACATGGTGCCATTTGGCAGTACTGAGGCTGTCTTGTGCCCTGTGTCCCTGGAGCTGAGCCCAGTCTGCTCCCAAGCCCTGGCCTGGGCCCCGTGTCCACTGTAGGCTGCCCTGCTATTGCTCTTACTGACGCTGACGTCTCAGGAGCTTCGAGAACAGAAGATGCTCCCCTGATAAAGGAAAGAACAAGTATTTGGCTCATGGATCCGCTCTTTGGACAGAGTCCTTAATGTCACTGAGCCTTGCTCTCCTCCAGCCTTGTCTGCTCTCGGGGCTAAGTCGGGGTTTCTCAGGCTCAGTGCTCTTGGTGTTTTGGGTCATAATCTTTCTTTGCTTTGGGAGCCTGACTGGTGCATTGTGGGAATATTTCGTAATGTCCCTGACCTTTATCCATGAGAGCCAGTGGCACCCCCACCCCTGCCCCCATTATGAGAACCAAAAATATCTCCAGACATTAGCAGATGTCACATGAAGTGGAAAAGTGCCTCCAGCCGGGAACCACTGGGCAAAGATAATTTCCAAATATTACTACACCTCTTCATCTCTTTTTGTCAAGAGCCTTCTCTTTTTTCCTAGACTGACTGACCATGAGGATTGAGAGAATTCATAGACATGCTCAGAAAAGGGCAGTGCAGCTGTTCCACCAGCTACCACTTTGTTCCATTTTAAGATGCAGCACAGCATTGAGGCCTGGCATGATGTAGACTCCCCTCCCCTCCCACAGAATGATCGCCCACCTCGCTTCATCAGCAAGATAATCACTTTTGAGGGGTTCTTACTATGGATCCAAAGAACCTGAAGGCATCTGGAACAGAACTGCATTTTAGTGTGATTGGTCTCCTTCTGTAAGGCTTTGTACATTTAGAAACATTACTCTGAGAAGGGGTCCACAGGTTAAGAATTAACCAATCCTCAACTTGCCCGTTAGGGAATGTTCATGGAGTATGGACAGTGAGGACTTTGGGCAGAAACTAAGCTGAACAAGACATACCTCTTAAGTCAATGTACCCAGCTTCTGGCTGGTTCCCTGATACTCCAGGGTGCAGCTTAGTCATCTTTCCTGAACCATTGGAAGTCCAGGTGCCCTTTTATGACCATCTTTGCTTCTCTAGTCCAGCTTACTGGTTCTAATCAGCCAGACAATGCTGTCTCCTCAGACCTGGATCTGGGGTCAGGCACTTTAGGTCTGTCAAGGCTGTCTAGCCATACCTAGAGGTGTGAGGGTGGCTCTCTAGGGCATCTCCCTGGAGATGGTAGAGATGCCAGTTCTCCCAGGAGAGCAGAACATGTGACTATGTGGTTAAGGACCACAGTAAGAGCCTGAGCTGTGTAAGAGTTAAAAAGCCCATGTTCTTTCCACTCTTTTCTGCTGCCTGCTAGTGTTGCCCAGCTTCTGAGCTCTGGAGAGAGGGCACAGAATATATTGGAGCCTGCTCTTAGAGACCTGGGCTCTGGTTACAAACTCCCCCAGCAAGAATCCCATAGAATCTGCTGGGCCCTTGAGGGCTTTCCTGGCCACGGATGAGGGGTACGTTCCTTTGGGCTCCTGTGAGTTAGAGTGATTGGCATGGGGCAGCTGCTATCCTGAGCCCACTCTAGTCCCCAGTGTGTCCCCTTCAGGCTGATGGAGAATCACATCGGTGTGCGATGGGCAGCTTCTCAGAGGTATGGAGGATGACTTTGGCTACTGTCCTCATGACCTTAATGCTGATAACCCAAGATACATCTTGCCCCCATTTTTAAAAAAGGAAAACTGTATAACACTTAAGACACATACAGACACGCTTACACTCTGCTGTCAGTATTCTCAGCTTTGGCAGCCAGTCACCATGATGACTTAATAATAGCTGGTGCTGAGATAAATGACTGTTGGAGGTAAACAAAGTGTTTTAAAGCAGGGGTCGGGCATTTTTGTAGGCTGTTTCCCAGGCCTTTGGTATTTATTGAGAAAGGCTCTCATACCCAGCAGTGTTCACTCTACATCCTGTCTTCATTGCATTCCAATTTCAAGTCAGTTTAACAAAAGAGTTCCTAAAGTGGAGAATGCATAAAACAAGGGACAGACCAATTGTAGAGCTAATTTCTCCCAAGAAACAGGGAGTGTTTAAGCAATAAACCTATAATGTATGACGTTTTCACTTTTCCTCTCTCCTCATTTTGTTCTGGCAAGTGGTTATTTTTAAGGCAGATGCT